GATTTAGCGGATCTCTCGATTTAACGGATAAATTTTCTGGAAAAAAATATCCGTTAAATCGAGACTCACTGTGTATTAGTATAATTCATGAATATAAATTATATACATAAGCTCGCTTACCTAAAATGATACCATTGTAAAACACAGTGAATTGTAATATTATAAATAGCACCTGCAGATGATATATCAAATTTTTCTGAGAAGGGTCTTCATTTTTACAATTGGTACAGGAAATCATTACAATTTGTTGCAAATGAGTTTCAGTATCCATTAATATTGTAGAACAAAGTTCACCTCTTGCAATTAAATATTTAAATATCGTTTGAATCATTTCATTTTAACTGTTTTATTTTAAAATATGTAAAAAAGATTAGATAGATAACTTTTTATAAAAAATTATTAATTGTGAACTTTTTTTTAAGTTTTTTATTAACGAATATACCTTTGTTTTTTTTTTTTTTTTTGGTTTTCTAACTCGAAAGAGTTTCATGAGAATTTAATTCAACAACACCATTAGTATCAATATATATACCGTGTTTAATATTTTTGATCGGATCTTGTGCATATTGAACCAAATATTCTTGAGACTTTCTAAATCAATCTTTTAAATTATATATATTAATATTAAAAACCAAATACTTTAGTATTGACCTGCTTTTAAGTTTTAATCAATTATAAAACTATTAAGGCTTTATAATAGAACAAACTTTGAGAATTTTTTATTTTCTTCACAAATGGTGCAAGAATTGGTGTATTACACAAGACTTTAGTAAAAATAATTTTCAGTTGAAATAATAGGTTTAATATATACAGGTAGTAGAAGAGGTTGTAAAGAGTAAAAATAATTAGTTTAGTACAGTTATTATTGGCTTTAGTAGCGTGTAAAGACATTTCATGTGATATGCAGATTAGACTTTAAAAATGATTCGCATGCATACTAGCCTTAAAAAAAATTATTAATATATTAATATGTTGTCATTGTGCAATTTTTCCGATGTTTGTGTTACTACTCGTGCGCGTATTTTCATTATCATGATGAAATTAAAAAAAACAATTGATGATGTATTTCCTCAAAAAATTCTTTTGTTCTTCTATCCTTTACTGTGTTTGAGATCGAATGTCAATTGTCTCCATCACTATCAAATTTTATTGCTTTCCGGATCATACTTTTTGTTACTAGTCAAATAATAGTAAAAAAAAATTTTTCAAAACATATACCAAAAAATAAAAAAATAAATTTTAAATTTCCTTTTTTTTTAAAAAAAGTATGATATATTTGATTATTCAATTAATAATATAAAAAAAATGACTTCATGTTTTCTTTATTTAATTTGTATAAATTATTTTTTTCCAATTAATAATAATAATAGTTGGATTATAATCTTTTTTTTCTTTTTATTATTATTTATTGGTTCGATAATATTTCTCGTTTTAAGTTCTTCCTTTATATTTACTAGAAATACTACTAGTAATAGTAAAACATTACGAACAAAGTTAAAAGGCTTATTAATTATGAGTTCAAGTAATATCACCCCTACCACTACCGCCAACACACCTCAAAGATCACAAAACCCTACATCATCATCGTCATCATCATCATCATCATCACCACCACCACCATCATCGTCATCATCATTACCACCACCACCATCATTACCACCTCATCATCCAACTCAAACAACAACAACAACAAGGAAAACTTCTCAATCTTCTCCAACTCAAGCAAAAATATCTTTAACAACTCAAACCACTCCTTCTCAACCTCCTCCACCAAAATTTTCAGCGCAAACTTTTCCTCAAAACACCATTCTTCAAAAATCATCAGCACAAACTCCTTCTCAAAATACTCTAGCAATTGCTAAAAAAAAAACAACAGCTCCTGTTACTTCTCCAAAACAGACATCGTTAATTACTACTGCTACTGCTCCTCAACAACCAAAATCAGAAAAACCTAATAACGATCATTCGCTTGAGATAACAATAACAACAACATCATCATCCAATAAAAAAAGGTCAGTTAATTAATTTAATTTAATCAAATCAATAAGATTGATTTTTTTTTTCGTTGGAAAAATCCTGATTTATAACAATTATAATAATAATCATTGAAGTTTAACTGATATCAAAAAAGAAGAATCACTAGCTCAAAAAAATGAAAAGTCGCCAACTTTCACTACTACAACTACCGCCTCAACTAAAATACCCATGACCGGAGATATTGTGCCAACTACTGCAACAACGACGGATTCTAAAAACATTTCCAACGAGCAAAATAACATCACTACTACAAATAATGGTGATGGTAAAACTAATGATAACGATAAAAATGACGATGACGACAGTGAATCGAATCCGTTCATTACCACTACTGAAGAAGCAAAAAACAAAAAAATTCAAGAATCTATCGACGACATTACAATGTCAACAACCCAACAAAAAAAAGAGCAGGGGAAGCAAACACATGACGAAAAAATTCCATTTTCTTCCTCAGATAATATTATTAGTAAGTATATTTATTAATAATAATAAATTAACAAAGGTTTTCCTTTTTAAAATATATTTCGTCTTCCTCCTATCTTTGTTATTATCGTAAAGCCTCCAATGTTAAAAACGGTAAAAAAATTGATAAAGAAAGAACCATTGCAATCAAATCATCGTCATCAACTTGCACTACAAATGAAACCATAAAAGCATCTTCAGGTGCATTGGAGATAGTCACAAGTGCAGTGTCTTCATCAGCAGAAAATAAAAATCTTAGTGCACAACATGAATTAATTAAAAAATACTTTCAAGCTAAAAATAATCTTAAATTGGATGATATGGTGTCAACTGTCTCTGATGATGTTAGTTATTTATATTTGAATAAAACTAATATTCAAGGAAAGGTATGTTTTTCATGTATTTATATAAATTATATATTATTTAATTCATACATAAAATTATAATAAATATTTATAGGAGGCTTTCAAGAATCATATGAAACATCAATTTGAAGTCGCGCATAATTCTTTTAAGGATTACAACTTATCTACAAAAAAAATACTTGTTGAAGGTAATCAAGCTATGGTTAAATGGGAATGGATTTACAAACATAAGGGTATTGCGAAAAATTTGGGCAATTTAAGAATTGAAGGTAAAACAAATAAGGCCAAATTTTTTTGTTTTATTTTTTTTTGCGATAGAATTTATTCTGATTGCTATTATTTAATAAAGGTGTTAGTGAATTTGAATTGAAAGGATTATTGATTAAATCCGTGAAAAGTTATGAAATTAAAGATTCAGATCATGCTGTTAATGGAAGTGGTGGGAGTAGATTATTTGGAAAGTTTGTAAGGAAACTTAAGCATATAGAGTCATCAACATAAATAATTAAATGAATGGCATTAAATTTAATAATTAGTAAATTTTTCATTTTCTTTCATTTTTATTAATTGCGGTTTAAATAATTTTATAATAACGATAAATTAATAATAATAATATAGAATGTTTGGATGTATTGTATATTTTAACACTATGTGCACTTGTGTCGATTAATTATATTTTTTGTAATGAAAATAAAATACTATATTATATATTAATTAAAAATATTCTTGTTTTATTTCAAATTATTATTATTATTAAATGTATATATATTTTGTAAAAAAAGGTCAAATTATTGAAAAAAATAAATAATAATAATAATAATAATTCTAATAAAATTATTAATTAATTAATAAACCAATCCAAACATCAAATCCAACATTAAATATTCCAAATAAAAGAAAATTAAAAGACAAGTGCGGCACCTTTTGTCTATATAATAAATATTATTAATCAGGATAAAATTTATAATTAATAATTTTTATTGTTAAAAATTTTGTTTAAGCATTCGTTATAATTATTTATCATTACCTTTTTATCACCTCCAAGTTCAAAATGTTTACATCTTTTAAGCGCTATTTGATGTTTATACTAGTCATATATATTATTTATAGATAGATAAATAGATTTTTATTAATAATCAATTAAGATTAAGATCAATATGAAGAGGTGAAGATTATTATTGTTATTGTTATTTATCAATAAATTTATTACCTTACAACTTTGACATTCTAAACGAAGTACAATTTTCCTAGTTGTTTTAGCTAAAAAAAAGTAAAGTATATTATAAATAATTGATTCTATGTATAAATCGCTATTTATAATCTATCTATAACCTTTAAATATAAAACGCATATATATATATATATATAATTATAAGTCCACCTTTCTTATGAAACACGGGTTTTGTTTGACCACCATAACCAGATTGTTTACGATCATAACGTCTTTTACCTAATCGAATAATCAAATAATTAATCTATTAATAAAATAATACCTATCCATCTAAAAAAAAGTGTTGATTTTATCACATATAATATTATTAAAAACTATTCATTCATTACCTTGAGCATACAAAGAATCTTTGCCTTTTTTATATTGAGAAACTTTGTGTGGTGTATGTTTTCTACAATTTTTACCTTTACAATAGGTATTTCTTGTTTTCGGAACGTTAACCTATGTATATACAATTAAAATCCATATATAATACACATATATATTATTATTTATTATTATATCACAGGAAATTTTTTTTAACAAACCATTTTATAATTTTCTCTTTTTTTTTTATCAAGATTTTTTTTACTAAAAATTTTTTTGAGTGTAGTACCGATCTTCTTTAAATATTGTCGATCATATTACATATAATAAGTAAATAAAAATTTTCGAAAAATTAAAATGGCATTAGAAGAAAATAATAATAATACTACAGGAAATTTCAAGTAAAATTTTTTTAATAAATATAAAATATACATGTATTTTTTAAAAACTTTTGTGTTTTTTTTTTTAAAGTTATGAAACCAGACCACCACCGCCACTTAGACCAGTTAACGCAAACACTTTAACTGAAAAACAAGTTGTCATAGCTGAAGAATTTCCAATGCTATTGAACAAAAGGTGACATATCAATCAATGAAAAAAATGGAATGAAAATAAAAATAGAGTTATTAATTATTATATTAATATTATAAAAAAAGTAAAGAGGAATTAGAAGATTTATTGAATAATGAAGTGGTTTTTGATTCTTTTTTGGAAACTGTTGAACAAATACGTAATATGAAAGGATTGCAAAATGAAATGAGGATGGGAAATGAAACATTAGCAAGTAAATTTCAAATTATTAATTATAACATTGGAAAATTATATATTACAATTTAGTTAATAACAATCATTTAATAATACCTTAAAGAGAAAACACTAACACAAGAAGAAGATTTAAATCAACTTTATAAAAAAGTTCAAGATGAAGAAAATGAACTTAAAGAACTTTATGATGCTTATAAAGAAAAAATAAAGACACAACAAGAAGTTTTGCAGGTAAACATATTTTTATACTTAAAAAAATATATTATTAATAACACCTCCATTGTTATTATTATCATCGTTATTAATATTTCCATTATTATAATAATCAAGAGATTTTCATTGCCTCTTCTTCTGACAAAACTTAAGTTGGAGGTACAACAATCAGATGAATTATCAGAACAAATAGCAAATTCGTTTTTAGATGGAGAGATAGAATATGATCATTTTGTTAAGCATTTTAGAGAAGTAAGAAAAGTGTATCATCTTAGAAATGCCAAGGTTGAAAGAATTGCTTTGAATCCTAGTATTTTAGGAACACATTTTTAAAAAATTATTGGTTTAGACTGTATTTAACATATAGACAGACTTAATATTATTTTGTCCAAAAATTTTATTATAAAATGCTAATTGATTTATTATTATTTTTGGGGATTGATAAATAAGCTATTTGCATATTTGATTTTAATGCATTATATCACCATGTATAACAGGTAATGAGGCTGATAACCCGCTACAAATGGTTATAGCTTGTCCATTAATATAAGAACTTTCATCACTTTCTAACAAAAGCACAACATTTGTAATCTAAATATGGATATCTGTTTATATTGGTTGATAAGTATTAAGTAACAAAATGATTGATTGATGGATGGATAAATAGATAATACCTCTTCAGAATGACCATATCTTCATAGAGGGAACTTTGTTGATTGTACCTTGTTCACAAGCAGCAACAAATAGTGGTTTTGCCATATTTGTTTCAATTAAACCCTATAAAGTGATTAATTTTTTTTAGCCAACATAAAAATTGAGGCTATGTACTGGACATATTAGAAATAACACACATATTTGTACCAGCTAATTGCCATGCCCCTGTATGTGTATTAGATGTTGAAATTGATTTCCCATAATCAATAAATTACAATGAATTCTCCAAATATTATGTAGTAAATAGTCATAATTAATTTAATTGATTAAATATCATTTAATAATTATATACCTAATAAATTAATTAATTTATCAAATTACCAAGTATATAAAGATAATCTGGCAAAAGCAAAATTAAAAAGAAATTATTATAACAAGAACACAAAATTGGCAAAAGAGCAAAGGAAAGTTGTGGATCAATTGTGGAAGGCAAAATGCAATATTGTAATAGTTATGATCGAGTTCAAAATGCCCATGTACTACATTCTGAGCAACAGATTAAGTAAGTATAGATGAGTGTTTGCAGTCCTTGAAACCACAAATGTTCTATTATTATGAATTTTCTAGTGATAAAAGAAATAGCATTCTATTTGAAGGAAGTGCTTTGCTTTAGCCTTGCTGGTTATAAATTAATTCCAAAAACTGAAGAAAATGAATATATTAAGATATTGGAACATTTAAAAACCAGTAAGTTAACTGACCCAAACTTTTATAATAATCCCAAAAGGTAT